TGTGTCACTCTGACAAACTGAACTAAGAAAATTGTTTCAAAATGGACTGAAGATTTATTAAGACACAAATAATCAAATCTGCAACATACAAGTGCTACTTCTAAGATTTCCATCTAGAATAAGTAATTAATGTGTGACCTATAACAGTTGTGAACATTGTAGCATTATGTTCTATAAATACTTCGTAGATGAAATTCGGCCAAATATATCATATCTAACCATCTTTTCTCATAAAAAAACGTTAGGAAGATGAGAGGTTATTTCTTATAAGTTAATTACAAGAAAACAATTCAAACAACCACTAGATGTCAGACCCTTTTGATACGATCAAATAACAAACAAGTGAATAAATCTGTCAGAGAATCAATAAATAAAATAATTGATTGAAGAATGTGCTTTTATTTCATAGCTGTATGGTGTAAAGACAGTTGCGGTTCCGGGGTAACAGATATTTATTTTATAAAAATCTGGATAAAGTATGATCCATCGGAAGCATGAAAACAACAAAATTACATGAAAACTCGGTTTGATTAAGTCTGTACATGAGGAATAATGATAGTGTGCAACATCCCTCAAGCCCGCTAGCACTGGCTAGTGTGGTACTTAATTCTAAACACTTAATAGTTCTGGCATCAATGATCCCGAAGGACCAGGAAAATATAACCACACTGAAAACATAATTTATCAATAGCAAAAGACTCTTCATTATCACTTTCTTTCAAATGCTTTTTTTTGCTTACTTACGAGGGTTGATCAGAAAAATACAAAGACTTATAGACTTATTCTATCAGATAGGAAATAAAGATTGAAAGTTAAACACACTACAAATCAATATCTGCTACATATCCCCTGAAATATTAACTATAGGTACAGTATAAGTATCAAAACTATGACAGATATAAAATAATACATACATAACATACAATCCTGTGCTCACCGAATTTACATGACATCACGTCATGACAACGTAACTATAAATGCAGCAATTATTAAAAAAATACTTCATTTAACCATAAATACAATTCATTTAAGTATGAATTTCACCTGACGTTAAGTAAAGAAGCTCCAATGAAAGTCTAGGTACAATAATTATGATCACCCTTCGTACATGCAAACATCACAATAGTCCAATAAATTAGACGTTACAGGCTTGTTATAGTTTTATGTCGGTCAAGCCTGACGTCTAATAGTTATTGCTCATAAACGCATAGCATCATAAAAAAATAAAAAATTGTCTGTTGTCTTGCCTTTCAAGCTTTATTCCAAAGCTTTTCTTTTCTTTCAATTTCATGCTCAATCATAAACCAAAACTCTTAAAAAATGTACTTATATCTCGTTCCAAAATAAAAAGGGATTGTCCAATCAGTCCCTCTTTTTAGCCTAAAAACAGGGTTTTTGTGTGTAAATATTGGAGTTATTTTTCACAAATGGTGAATACAAAAAAGAACAAGTGACTCTTTTTTCATCAATTTAATTGAAAATTTGACTAAAAGACATTGAATAAATACATATAACAAACATTTTGTTCGATCGATCGAACAAAAATGGCAAACTTCTCATTACTTAATTTGTTCGATCGATCGAACAAAATTTTTTTTCATTTATCAAATGAAATTTAAAACATACATTTTGTTCGATCGATCGAACAAAAATGTTCAAACACTGTATTGGAAAATTTCTCTCTCAAACTGTACAAAAACAATTAAACATTTTGTTCGATCGATCGAACAAAAATATATTTTGTTCGATCGATCGAACAAAATTTCTTTTCATTTCCAAAAGTGGTTAAATAAACGAAAAATTTAAAATAAAGATTTTGTTCGGTCGATCGAACAAAATATATATTTGTTCGATCGATCGAACAAAATTTCTTTTCATTTCCAAAAGTGGTTAAATAAATGAAAAATTTAAAATAAAGATTTTGTTCGATCGATCGAACAAAACAGTTCAAACACTGCATTGGAAAATTTCTCTCTCAAACTGTACAAAAACAATTAAACATTTTGTTCGATCGATCGAACAAATATATATTTTGTTCGATCGATCAAACAAAATTTCTTTTCACTTCCAAAGCTGGTTAAATAAATGACAAATTTAAAACAAAGATTTTGTTCGATCGATCGAACAAAATTTATATTTGTTCGATCGACCGAACAAAAAGGACAAACTTCTTATTACTTAATTTGTTCGATCGATCGAACAAAATTTCTTTTCATTTATGAAATGAAATCTAAAACAAACATTTTGTTCAATCGATCGAACAAAATATATATTTGTTCGATCGATCGAACAAAATTTCTTTTCATTTCCAAAAGTGGTTAAATAAATGAAAAATTAAAATAAACATTTTGTTCGATCGATCGAACAAAACTGTTCAAAAACACTGTATTGGAAAATTTCTCTCAAGCTGTACAAAACAATTAAACATTTTGTTCGATCGATCGAACAAATATATATTTTGTTCGATTGATCGAACAAAATTTCTTTTCATTTCCAAAAGTGGTTAAGTAAATGAAAAATTTAAAATAAAGATTTTGTTTGATCGATCGAACAAAATATATATTTGTTCGATCGATCGAACAAAATTTCTTGTCATTACCAAAAGTTGTTAAATAAATGAAAAATTTAAAATAAAGATTTTGTTCGATCGATCGAACAAAAATGTTCAAACACTGTATTTGAAAATTTCTCTCTCAATCTGTACTAAAAAAATTAACATTTTGTTTGATCCATCGAACAAATATATATTTTGTTCGATCGATCGAACAAAATTTCTTTTCATTTCCAAAACTGGTTAAATAAATGAAAAATTTTAAATAAACATTTCGATCGATCGAAACAAAACTGTTCAACACTGTATTGGAAAATTTCTCTCTCAAACTGTACAAAAAAAATATTTAACATTTTGTTCGATTGATCGAACAAATATATATTTTGATCGATCGAACAAAAAGGGCTAACATCTTATTTCTTAGTTTGATTGATCGAACAAAATTTCTTTTCATTTCCAAAACTGGTTAAATCAAATGAAAAATTTAAAATAAAGATTTTGTTCGATCGATCGAACAAACTGTTCAATTTACACTGTATTGGAAAATTTCTCTCTCAAACTGTACTAAAAAAAAAAACATTGTGTTCAATTAATAACAAATATATATTTTGTTCGATTGATGGAACAAAATTTCTTTTCATTTCCAAAACTGGTTAAATAAATGAAAAAATTCAAATAAATATTTTGTTCGATCGATCTAACAAATATGTTCAATCACTGTATTGAAAAATTTCTCTCTCAATTTGTGCTAAACAAAACAACACATTTTGTACGAATGATCAAACAAAAAGGGCAAACATCTTATTTCTTTGTTTGATCGATCGAAAAAAAATTCTTTTCATTTCCAAAACTGGTTAAATAAATGAAAAATTTCAAATAAAGATTTTGTTCGGTCGATCGAACAAAAAGGGCAAACATCTTATTAGTTTGTTCGATTGACCAAACAAAATTTCTTTTCATTACCAAAACTTGTTATATCAAATAAAAAACTTAAGATTAATAAACATTAAAGGACCGATCAAACAAAATACCAATTGAAAAAAAAAATTATATATACATTTGTTTTAATTGGATTTCACAAATGTATATTTTTTTCGATCAAACAAAACAGGCAAACATCTTATCAGTTGTTCAATAACCAAACTAAATTGTTTTCATTACAAAAACTTGTTAAATCAAATAAAAAATGCAAAATAAACATTTTGTTTGATACATCAAAAAAAAAAAAGAAAAAGAAAAGCAAAACACTGTAATAGATCAAACAAAAATGCTACACGAAAAGCACATTTCATTAGATAGAAAAACAAGAGCACCGTTAGGCGAAGCATTATATGCCCAAAAGTACTTTGTCTTTTAGTAAGGATAAAGCATAATTTGTAAGAAATGGGAATTAAATATAGTATTACCTCCCTCCTTTATAGCTGAAGAACATTCATGTATATATACAGTTGCTGTTTTCAAAGCACCATCATCAAGTTGTTATCATGTAAGTAAAAATGCTACAATGGATGGATGAAAAGACGTCAGGGGTATAAAGCTGTTAATCCTAAAGTTGTAGGTTGATTAATACTTGAGTTATTGAGCGAAAACTGTTTCCAGTTTAAAGGTGATAGTGACCTTGACCTTGTGACCCCAAAATCAATAGGGGTCTTCTACCTAATATGGACAATCACCCTATGAAGTTTGAATACTGTGGGCCAAATGGAACTTAAGTTATGCTCCGGAAACCAAATTGCTAACGGACGGACGGACAGATAGACAGACGGACGGACGCCAGGGGGTATAACATAATATGCCCGAAGTTCAATTTAATAAAATTGTTGTTTTGTTTGGTTGACCGAACAAAAAAATTTTGATAGAAAATCCGGTAAAGGCATTTTGTTCGGTCGATGGAACAAAAGTGCTATACCAAAGCATATTTCATGTGATAGAAAAACCTGTTGAACTCAATTAATCTATAAAATTGATCGTTTGTTTGGTCGAAGGAACAAAAAAAAAATCTGATAAAAACTCAGGTATTATAAGACTCCCTCTATGGATCGAACAAAATGCTAATTACAAAAGCATATTTCATTAGATAGAAAAAACATGTTATCAACATTCTTCCATGCATGTAGGAGAATTTAGATGCTCCAGAGAAAATCTGGATATTTCATTATCTTTAGTGGCCTTCAAGACCTTGCATATTATAAATGAACAAATTTGCATACATGACTGTGTCACAGGCATAGTCATGATAATGACCATATGTGTTACAATCCCTCAACAAATGATGACTTAATGGTTCCTACTTCTATCTGAACTTTAACCTCTGTATGTGACCTTGACCTTTAGCATGTGATGCTACGCTTAACAATGTTGAACATTAATTTGGGAAGTGATACATGACACCGTTTTGCTCCTAACAAGCATTTATCAATGATCTCTAAGTGTGACCTTGACCTTTATCAGGTGATAGTTTCATTAAAACCCTGCATGGGCAGGGCTTCTGTTAGTGGAAGTTTGGAAGTCATTTACTCCTTGATTTTGGTTTGTGACATCCAAAATATAATGCTTACATAATTTGACAATGCCTGCCAACCTGAGGTTCCCATTGTATGTCTTGTTTTTCAAATGGGCATATAAATTTGACGTACATGTAATATGATCTAACATCATACTTAAAATGCTGAAATAGTAACACCTAGCCAGTTTCATCTATTAAACACAATCTTCTTTTCAACAGGCAATAGAGATATAGTTGCTAGGAACTACATTCCACAACAATAACATACATGATCTATCTATTAAGTTAATTCAATATCTCCAATGGGTAGACAAACAGACAGACAGACAATCTGATTCTAGTATATATCCACATTACATCTGTAGTTGCGTTGGGTTTATACAAATAGAATATCCTGAACATACTGCTCCCTTATGGTATGGCACAATCTTGTTTGTTCATTCAACATTTGCTTGTATTGTTTTGCACTAAAACAGCACCTGTGTGAATACCAATCACTCAACATATCTTACAGTCATTCAGATATTGTAACAAACAATATTTCGCAGCATTCTTCATTATCAATTGGAAGTGTCAACAAAACTTATGCAAAAATTATGCACATTTTCCATCCAAGTATGTTTCTGCCCTTCTGCGAGGAACAGGAAAAAATCTTCTTGACAACAACAACATCTGAAAATAAATCAGAATTTCTATCATTTCATTATTTGCATGTATCTATCACTTAATTCATATAATAATTTATATTCCTTTTAAAATTTTGGGACTTCGAAAAAAATACAGATACATGTCTTAAAAAACACCAACCAAATGTTTTTAAATTAGCACCATTTGTTGTATGTTAAGAATTTTATAAATACAAGTTATATATTATATTATTCTTATCTTTGTGTATACGTTAGATTTTGTTGTTTACAAATCCTGGGTAAATAATGAAAAATAAACTAAGATTAATCACTTGTGTGGCCTTTACCTAGTGACAGTGTTCTTGCATGTGACAAATTATTGGCAGTTATGTGTACAGGTAAATAATAATAATGAAATACAATCATGTATGCAACAGTTAACCAACCACACTAGATAAGACTGTATTTGTAACACTTGCTGTAACTTTTGACTAAGGGACTTTGGTATTGCACAAAATACATAACCTACTAATGGTGGCTGCTAGCCTGGGATTCAGGTGTTAACAATTTTTGCTTATATGCATAACACATATGAGCGATTTCATACTCGTTCGATTTTTTTTATAATATCAATGCCTGGGGGAACTTGCGGGGGTTTTCTATGTAATAATCGACTAATGATAATCCCTATTAAAAGACTGATTAGCACATGACCCACAAGTCACACATGACTAAATCAAAATAAAGGCAAGGATGCTGAATGGTGAAAATCCAACGCCATGGCATTTACCATTATAAATAAATTACGTTCAGCACATTTCTCTGATGCTCTCAGACTTCATCCACACAAAGAATTTGTTTTTGGCTAATCTTAGACATGTTGATCAACTTAGCTCATCATGCAATAAACAACTAGTGTCAAAACTGTCAATTTCTAATCGGAAAAGGGGTTATGGAAGCGAGGCTCCATGACTTTTTGTTGAGTTTCCAGTCACTTAGGGTAAATTTCTTTTCTATTTTTAGAAACTTGTTTGTAGTTGCAGGAGTTATCGTTCTTTAAATCACACCATAATTTTCAGGTGAATACTAGGTGGCGCTTCAATCTAAATTTGTATTTCCCCAGGCTGTCAATTTGACGAACAGAAGCACATAAAAAAACAGACTGGAACCCAGGCTAGGTGGCTGCATTAACTTTTTTTTAATTCTTTCATGCATGCAGGAGTAATGTCCCAGGCACAAAATGTCTGTTCAGAAGTAACCAGAATTTCATGTAGATATTAATGTATGGTCGTTGACTTCAAACCAATTGCCCCTCACCACTGTGGGTTCGAATCCCAACAGGAACGTTGTGAGGAAGCTTATAATAAAAATCCAGCTAGCTTACAGAACTTCGGTGGTTCTACTGAGGTGCCCATTTGTGCCTGAAATAATGCACCGAGTAAAGCTGGAATGTCGCCATATCACCTTTACTTTGTAGGTGTGCCGTAAAACCAAAGTGAAGCTACTTACATTTTCTTTTTTTGTCTTGTTATCATCACCAGTCTTCTCTTTCATATTCTGTACCTGTTTATCTTGCTTACAAGTAGTTTACTGGATTAAACCCTGTAATGTTTAAGTAACAAGAATTTAGCATTTCTAGTCTAAAAGCCATTACACTATAATCAGATGCCAACTATCTAATTAACATGCAGTATTTAAAAATAATAGAAAAGTAAAAAAAATGATTATTGAATGCTTAAAATTCCCACCCTTGTGCTTTTCTAGTGCACTAGTCCTGAAATAGAGGTGCACACAAAATCACCAAACAGGATGACACTTTACTGGTTCAATGGATTATTGCATAGCAATTGACCAGGGTAAAGTCATATATTGATTATATTTTGTAAGAATTTTTTCTTTTGGGTATATTCATTCATAATTGTTCTTTTCGAAACCTAGCTAAACACTGTTTTACGGTATGGTATGTTACGGATTTAGCTCTGGGGAATTACACCCAATGAATTACATTTATAACACAACTAACATTGTGATATTTCCATTTTTTCAATTATTATTTTACCGTTTATGGCACCTGGAAAAACTTTGATGTGTTTGAAAATTATTAATATTCCTGTACTATCTATCGCAAATTTTCCACAAAAAAAAGCTTATTTATAATAAAAGTAAAACAGTCGTTGTTGCATATGCCATAAATTAGGTTAGAGATATTTTCTGCAGAAATTTATGTATTTACTATATTTTTTTTGTATTGAGTTTTTCATACAGTGATATTTAATTATTTTCTTCCAAAGAAATAATTGTTTTATTACACTTTAATCCAAAAAAATACCAAAAACATACAGGTAGACTAGTTTACCAAAATTACTGCACGCCCTTTAGGTGAATTCCCCAGAGCTGTGTACATAAAGTACCGGAATTCGGTGTTTTAGCTACATTTTCGAATTTGTAAATATAAATCTAGTTTTTGAATAAACAGTTTGAATGTTGCTAAAATAATTCTATATTGATTAGAAATATGTTAATTATATGAATGTAAATATCTTATAATACTATATTTTTCTCTTTTATAGAAATAACTTCCCTTTTGTAACTTTCTGTTATATATATACCTTTTTCTCATGGATAATTAATTTTGTTTATCTAATTGCTTTAAAATTTTACTGTAACAGTAAAATTAATAACTACATGATTTTTTATGTTTTATTTTTAAAAACAGGTTTTAAATCCAAGTCAATGTGTCAACTTATCTGCTGCATTTCTTCTACAACAGTACATACTAATAACTATACCTGGAATATCTTCAAAATACACAGATTAGCAAAAAATTAATTCTGGGTTTTCACTGCAGTCAAATGTACAAATCAAGTTATGGCATTTTATCTATTTACATTGAACACCTATAATATCTATTGGTCACTTAAATAAATTCTATCATGGTCCAAAGTTTAAACTTCAAATTGAAAACTCTTTCAATTTAAAGATGCATAATTATAATCACGGATCTGAATTACATCTTTGATATAATTATGTTTTTTTTTTTTTATTAAATATAATTATATATAATTTCTAACTAGAGGCAAATTAAACACTTTAAAATTTGCATTCAATTCACAAGAAAAACATATTTTAATTTTCATTGCTAGTTAGGTGTACCGGTACTCTGAAACTTAAAATAACACAGTCTTCCTTTTGCACTTAAATGTTTGATGTTTTAATATTATATGACAATTCTATCAGTGTCAAGTTGTTTATTGGCTGGTCAGTGTTTATTTAACTGATTGTGTGCTGGTATATCACCCTTTGGCAACTTACACCATGGACTTCTGGAAAAGTCATAAAATTATAACAAGCCATATTGTTTAATATGCATATATACAGCTCATTAAAATTATTTGATTTCAAGAAAGAAACATTTTTTCATTCTACCATTTACATTTAGCTCATATGTCATTGTCAATCTATAGCAGTTTGAAAATTAATGGTTACTAAATATTGTAATTTTAAAAAGTAAAGGTCTAACTTTTAATTATCCGACAGAACAGGACTTTTTTTTATTTATACATAGTACATCATTATATTCCATACAATTTCCGGTAACCTAAATTTCAAGCGCATAGATTCCAATTCTCTAAAATTAATGAGAAAACTATTCATAATTTATTCATAAAAAAATGTAGATCAAATTATTTGTATAATTAAGTTAAAATATTTACTACCCCGTCCATTTAGTTTTTCAGTAAAATTACCTGGTTATTATAATAATATCAATAAAATATTTTTCATTTCTACCATTTTCAACATAAAAACTAAAAAAAAATGATATTACATTGAAGAATTATCAATTTTACAAAATACACAAGTAAATAAAATGATATACAAGCCTGTAACGGCTAGCCAAATGTTTCTAGCTGTAAAGTGAGTCAGACAATACATTCTTGCATATCGGACTGGCGTTTTCCGTGAGTTTTACCCATGCCGGAAATTTTCATCTGGCATGGGGGGTGCCGGATGAGTCGCGTGCCAAACAACAACGTCATTTTAGTGCACTTTATGAATGAACCCGCGTTAAAATGACGTCTTTTAGAAGGGAAATATGTGCTTATGATGACGTCATTTCACTGTTGTTATTTAAGTGTAAGTTCATACGCTATTTGTAAGAAAATAGCTAGGGAGGAAAATGACTTTAATTTCCATGAGCATATATCATATTGAGGTAAACCATTTTTAAATATGAAATAATATGGCAGATTATGCAAGAAAAAATATCTAAATATTGGTTTTGCGGTTCGGATTCGGAATACCCGTCCCTCGGGAAAACCCGCCCATGGGCCCGGGTAATCGGAAAAGCCTGGGTTACCCCCCCAAAAATGGGCGGGCCCCCTTCGGGACGGATTTTTCCCGGCCCAAACCCGGCAATATATGGCGATATTTTTAGTGTTTTTCCTGGCTAGCCGTCCCATGACTAAACAAAAAGGGCCCTTAAAAACTTTTGGGGCTAGCCGTACGGGGTGGGCCTTTTTCCCCCAATGAAAATTTAAAATCAAATGTTTATTTAAGGGGATTCCCTTTTTAAAAAGTTTGGTATACAATATTAAAATTATTATAAACAAAAATTATGTAACATTTAACAAAATCTAAAAGTATTATTTCCTTTTCTTTTTTTTCCCTTTTTGAATTTTAAAGGGACTCCCCCCAGGGTTTTTTAAAAACCAAAAAATTACACTAAATTTTTCTTAAATAAAATGGCTTAGGGACACTTTAAACAAAAATATATTGCAAAGATAGTTAAGAAATATATTTTGAAATCAATTGAAAATCGTATTTTTATAACTTTTTTTAGCCCGATCTGAGCGAAAAGTGTTTAAATGATTTTCATTTTGGGTTATTTTTTACAATTTGAATAATTATTCTGGAAAAACGAAGTGTGCGAATGATCTTAAATTTTTGCACATAAATTAGTGGTATAAACCTACATCAAAAGTACATTTATCTGGAAAAAAATATTTTCAGTCCCATCATGTCAAAAACCTCAGTGGAGTCCCTTTAACAACTTTTGTTGTATTACAGGCCTTCCAAAGTAGGCCAATTCACTTTAATGGTTAGATTCGACAGTACAATTAGTAAAGTTTTAAAATATAAATAATGTATTCCGTTTTTCTTTTTCTGCCACTGAAGGTTTAAAAAAATTTAAATAAATAGAAAAATGAATAAATCATCATATTGCTCAGTGCAGTTTTTGATTTCATGTCAAGTTTCTCTTTTCTTTAGTAATGGGTGACAACATAATATCTATTAAGATTGTGAAAGTCTTTAATATTACCAGTGCTTAGCCAGTATCATAGCTACATTAACAGATTAAAGCAAACCAAGGCACTTACCACCCTCGATGTAAATTTGGGCAACTTACAAAAAATAATAAAATAAAGTTACAGTACTTTTAAAGATGCGTATTTAAAAGCATGCTTGCAATCAATTACAACATTTAAAAAGTTATTAGAATCATAATATAGTCAGCAAAATTACTCACCATGTCTTGAAGAAACAACCCGCATGTATACAGTAATTTTGAAATGACATCACGTCTATTTACCCGTTTAACAGCAGCTTTGCGTGTAATTAAACTACAGTACACAGGCACCCGCTGTTTCGGCGGAAACGGTAAAGTCGATACGCTTACACGGGGGAGTCAGGTACTCGGTACATAAGCCACAATTTTCGTGACAGTACTATTCTTTTATAAAATAATTAAATTATCATATCGATCGGTTGTGAATAATTAAAATGTTAATTTATAAGAAATATCATTTAAACGGTTGTAAACAAATTGTAATTAGACTGAACACCCCTTCAAGTGCTTGAAAAATGAAGTCGTCCACTTTTTTGCGTCATCAACTGTCATTGCCAGGAGAGGGCATATTCTGTAGGCGGGATGGTAGAAAAAAAGCTTTTGTGTCGGATATATAATAAACTTCAAAAGGAGTTTTTATGATGAGGAAGGTAAGCATTGTTACATGTTGTATGTTTGTCCCTTATCATTAACATAATTAGAGTTAGGGACGTACGAAAACGTAGTTTTTGGTGAGTTTATTATTTTTATGTCAACAAATGATTAAGTATACTAATGGTTACGTACCATGGCGGAAACGTACCAGGATTTTACGCACCATTTTTGGAGATTACGTACCATTACGTACCATTTAAATATTCTGGAGGTCCAAATCGCACTTTTTAACAAAAACGATAAAAATCTAAGAGATGTTGAGATGATTTTACCAAAGAAATAAGAACTTCATGTGAACCTTTTCTTTTCCGTGTTGTCTGCAAATTTATTGTTCAGAAGAATTTATTGACCTGGAATAGGGTCTCATTTATTGCGCATGGGCATTCAAACTAGAATTCCCCAGGCGTTTTTTATTTTTAAAGTTCTCTGAGGTAACTTAAATTTAAATTAAACAACAGGCAAAACTTCAAAAGATATAAATTGCTGTACTATTTTAACTGCTGTGTTGCATAGAAAACAAATGTCTCTCTGCATGGTTTGATGACGTTCCATAGTATCTGATGACCTACTGCTGCGAGACCACCAAAATCGAACAATACCACCAAACCCGGACGGCCCTGAAAATCCAATATGAAGTTTATTTTTTTATTTCTTCAGTGGTTGCTGATCTATCAATTGCTTTTTTTATCAACAATAACTGCATATTTTGTTCTATATTCTAACACAACCCGCATTTTCCCCCATTGAACATAGAAGAACCGAAAGCATGTGTTATTATGCAATAAAGACTAAAAGTTCTATATTTATAGACATGTGACGTAATCATTATGTGACGTAACCACTAAAAATGTGAATCTCTGAAAATAAGTACGGAAACAAATCATGCGCAATTTAGGTTAATATCAGGTACGGCAGCATTTATTTGTTGATGTGTAAGAATTAAAATAATTACAGATTCGAGCTAAACTCCGTTTTCCAGTACTTTCTGTACATAGCTGTGGGGAATTCACCTATTGGAGTCTAATAATGAACTCTATGTTCTTGTGCCCCCACTATAGTGGGGGGGGGGGGCATTTACTCCATTTAGATTTACCCTTGTCCGTCTGTCCTTCCATCCGTCCGTCCATCCGTTCCCTTTTTTGGCGCTCGTAGCTCAAAAAGTAATTGACCTAGAGTCAGGAAACCTTACAGGAATGTTGATCAGCATGTGAAGTTGTGCACCTGGGTATTATCATGTGGATATATTAAGTATTTTTAGAGTTATTGCCCTTGACTTAGTAAAAATTTCCAATTTTCAACTTGTGCCGCACTTAACTCAAAAAATATTTGACCTAGCAGTCATGAAATCTTACAGGAATGTTGATCAGCATGTGTAGTTGTGCACCTGGGTATTTTTGTGTGGATATATTAAGTATATTTAGAGTTATTGCCCTTGAATAAGTAAAAATTTCCAATTTTCAAATTGTGTCGCAAGTAACTCAAAAAGTATTTGACCTAGAGTCATGAAACCTTACAGGAATGTTGATAAGCATGTGAAGTTGTGCACCTGGCTATTTTCAGGCCTGAAAGTTTACAAGAATGTGGGTCACTCAGCATGTGTACTGTAAGCTAAGTCAAAAACTGTTCAAATAACAACTTTTATTGATAACAAGTTTAATTCCACAAATTCTTTATTCAACCCTGAAAAGCACTACTTTTGCTATATTTAACAGTTAAAAGTTCCACAAAATGCTCTTGTCACCAGTTTTCACGACTGTCAGGATTTAAAGCCAAAATGCAAACTGAACACAGCCTGTCATGGCTACTTATATAGACTCTGAAATGGCCAGGACTGTCACAATTGACCAATCATAACATTCCATTTGGCCTGGCAGTCTGGCAGGAAAGACAGGAATTTCTTAAAATGGCAGCCATATTGACAGGAATAATTTAGAAAATGTAAATTAACAAAGTTAACAAATAACAAACAAGAACCGGTTGAACCGGGTGATGCTCCCCGAGAAGGTTCTGGACACAGGAAAGTATAAAAAAAATGAACAAAGGGCAATAACTCCAAAATTAGACCAGGCTTTGTTTAGGTTCTTTAAGTGTTGCAGTTCTATCCAATTATATCTAGCTACCTACAAAGTTTCATGTTGATATCTCTAATAGTTTTAAAGTAATGTCCAGGACAAAAGTCAAAAAGTAAAAATAAACAAAGGGCAATTACTTCAAAATAAGGCAAGGCAGAGTAATGATTTTTAAGCACTGCACTTCCACCCAATGAGGCCTATCTATCTACAAAGTTTCATGTTGATATCTCTTATAATTTTAGAGTAATGTCCCAGACAAAGTTCAAAGTGTCAAAATGAACAAAGGGCAATAACTCCAGAAGTAGGCAAGACAGTGTTACAGTTCTTGTGCACTGCAAACTTACTCAATGAGATCTATCTACCTACAAAGTTTCATGTTGATATCTCTTATACATTAAGAGTTATGTCCCGGACAAAGTTAAAAGTGTAAAAATAAACAAAGGGGGATAATTAAAAAATTAGGCAAGGTAGAGTTACGGTTCTTGTGCACTGCACTTCTACTCAATGAGATCTATCTACCTACAAAGTTTCATGTTGATACCTCTTATACTTTTAGAGTTATGTCCAGGACAAATTTCAAAGTGTAAAATAAACAAAGGGGGATAATTCAAAAATTAGGCAAGGCAGTTACGGTTCTTGTGCACTGCACACTTACTCAATGAGATCTATCTACCTACAAAGTTTCATGTTGATACCTCTTATACTTTTAGAGTTATGTCCCGGACAAAGTTCAAAGTGTAAAATAAACAAAGGGGGATAATTAATAAAATAAGGCAAGGCAGAGTTACGGTTCTTGTGCACTGCACTTCTACTCAATGAGATCTATCTACCTACAATGTTTCATGTTGATACCTCTTATACTTTTAGAGTTATGTCCCGGACAAAGTTAAAAGTGTAAAATAAACAAAGGGGGATAATTCAAAAATTAGGCAAGGCAGAGTTACGGTTCTTGTGCACTGCACACCTACTCAATGAGATCTATCTACCTACAAAATTTCATGTTGATACCTCTTATACTTTTAGAGTTATGTCCCGGACAAAGTTCAAAGTGTAAAATAAACAAAGGGGGATAATTCAAAAATTAGGCAAGGTAGAGTTACGGTTCTTGTGCACTGCACTTCTACTCAATGAGATCTATCTACCTACAAAGTTTCATGTTGATACCTCTTATACTTTTAGAGTTATGTCCCGGACAAATTTCAAAGTATAAAATAAACAAAGGGGGGTAATTCAAAAATTAGGCAAGGCAGAGTTACGGTTCTTGTGCACTGCACACCTACTCAATGAGATCTATCTACCTACAAAGTTTCATGTTGATACCTCTTATACTTTTAGAGTTATGTCCCGGACAAAGTTCAAAGTGTAAAATAAATAAAGGGGGATAATTCAAAAATTAGGCAAGGCAGAGTTACGATTCTTGTGCACTGCACTTCTACTCAATGAGATCTATCTACCTACAAAGTTTCATGTTGATACCTCTTATACTTTTAGAGTTATGTCCCGGACAAAGTTCAAAGTGTAAAAATAAACAAAGGGGAATAATTCAAAAATTAGGCAAGGCAGAGTTACGGTTCTTGTGCACTGCACTTCTACTCAATGAGATCTATCTACCTACAAAGTTTCATGTTGATACCTCTTGTTGTTACAAAGTTATGTCCCGGACAAGAAAAGGGGACGGACGGACGGACGGACGGACGGAAAGACGGACGGACGGACGGAAGGACGGACGGACGGACAAGGCGTCGACTATATGCTCCCCCGAAATTTTTTCGGGGAGCATAAATATGCAGTAAACACTTGAATTACATGCTTAACTTGATGCACTTAAGATCTGGACCAAAAACAATCATGGTTATAGCTTAGAGTTAGAAAAATGAACTATTGATATAAAAAGATTCCAAGTGCCAGGAATTTGAATTTTCCCTCCTGACAAACTTAGAGGTCATACCAGTCATCAACATTATTATGAAATACAGCAATGCCAGTTAATTATTTGGAAATTAACTTAAGTCTTATGTAAATAAAGATTACATTCATTGTTCTTACATGTAAAATGATAAGTATTTGTATATGTTTATGAAAATAAACGCATTTTAAGTTTTGAATCAAGGTAGACAACTCTTGTCGGCCATTTTGATGCCAGGATAAACAAAGTAAGTAAATAAATCATTTCTTGAAGTATAAACCTCCTTAAAGTGTCTTATATAGTCCTAGAGCCTCAGAATGTCCTATAATATCATGGTCTTAATTCCTTCCTTTACCAGAAAATTATCTAAACAAATAAAATCAGCAAATATGAATGGCTGAGGCAAGTTCAGGAATCCTGACAGGTAAAGTTCAGGAATCCTGGCAGGTAAGTTTTAAGCATTTACTGAACAGTATTACCTCACTTGTCAATAAATTATGCTAGTTTCATGTTCAAATTGTTTTAAAA